AGAGTGTGTGTGTGTGTGTGTGAGTGAGTGAGTGAGTGAGTGTGTGTGTGTGTGTGTGTGTGTGTGTGTGTGTGTGTGAGAGAGAGTGTGTGTGTGTGTGTGTGTCTGTAATCTGATTAATCATATGAAACTAAAACAAAACATCAAGCTGCAATTGGAGGAATTATGATTGGTCAGATTTCACAAAATTCATATGAAACCAAAGTAAAATATCAACATGTGATTGTAGGAATTTTGAATTCTGTCTCATAATATAAAACCAAAATAAACCCTGAGAGTCAAGACTTCAAGTTAAAACATGCTCACTCAGTGATAAAGTCCTCAGTACTCTTCTCTTCACTTATATTAATATATTTATCCATGAGATGAGACTCTTCGCTAGTCAGAAACACTTCAGGAGTCTCTTTAAAAACTATATTTACACACCAAAGGAAACGAATAGTTTAAAGTTAATATCGTGACATAAAGCATGCAAGTCATTAATGTAATCAAGACACGAGCGCGGATTACCTGTCGATCAGATCCATGAAGAGACACTGCTTACGAGGAGAAACCCCGCATATCCTCCGCGAACACACACACACACACACACACACACACACACACACACACACACACACACTCTGTGAAAGTTTCCTCACGCGCTTCGCTCGCGCTGACGTAACCGTGGCGGCCACGCCCCGTTCCGATGACATCTTCGAGGCCCCGCCCACCGGCGCGACAGCGCTGCATTAAAGTCATTCGCAAACATTTGCATGTTAATTTTTCATGATTATTTAAGAATGTACTGTCTGGCTTTTATCACAAACCGATAAGAATGTGAATGTGATTTCCTTTGGAGTGACTTTCAATGTGATGATGTTTTTTTTAATGTGCATTATTTAACTGATTAACATTTATTTAACCATAACTTGTATTAATATTCTGTACCTGTGGCTCATGTTGGAGATTATGGAGAATCTACAGTGTTTATTAATGTTCATACTGCAGTCCCAGCTAACATAAATATGCTCTAAGAATGCTTTGCTAAAATCATTTTATTATTTTGCAAACATTATGGAAACATGACTTTTGAATTTTCTCCAAACCCTTTTGCTTGAACATCCAACTAAAATGTTTCAGAAAATTTAAATAATGTTTTTGTGCTATTGCTTTATTAAATCTGAATCAGAATCTCTGTAAGCTCGTCCAGATCGGTGGCAGCAGCTTCAAAAACACTCCAATCAGTGAGGTCAAAACAAGCTTGTAAATCCTGCTCTGCTTCATTAGTCCATGTTTTTACAGTCCTTAATACAGATTTAGCTGATTTCAGTTTCTGCCTGTAGGTCGGTATAAGATGAACTAAACAGTGATCAGAGAGCCCCAAAGCTGCTCGTGGGACAGAGTGATATGCATTCTTTATTGTAGTGTAACAGTGATCCAATATATTACTGGATCATGTGATGTGCTGTCTGTATTTTGGCAGTTCACGGGAGAGATTGGCTTTATTAAAGTCAATTGATCCTTTAATGTTATTAAAGGATCAATTTGAATGAACATTCAATTAGTTGTATTGGAAGAATGTTTGTTCATAACTGTGTGAGAACGTTCCCTGTTCGCTGGTGTGATTCATGAGCAGATCATATTTAATATCAGATCAGCTCTATTAACAAACATGATGATGACGCTCAGCAGCTGCCACAAACCCTGCTCCACATCAGCTCAAAGCTCTGTACTTCCTCCAGCGAGTAAACACACCAATCACAGGAAACAACCACTTAAACCTGACCCTGACTAACACACGGTTATTGTCTTGTTATGTAAGTGACTGCTGCAGTGGAGCTGATTTACTGACATAATGAAACACTCCCAGCCTTCCTGCAGCTCTTTGGTTTGATTAGTGTTCATTCACTAGAAACACACACACACACACTCTCTCTCACACACACACACAC